ATGGGGGGGATAATGAAGAGGCATTGTGTCTCCTCATAATGACATCATGGCTCTGACAGAAGCTGGAGAAGATGCCCGCGGTCTCAGAGCGGAACTCTTCAGCTTGGCGCAAGTGTGTGTGTGAGTGTGTGTGTCCGTCCCTGGGCTACAGGAGTCCTCCTGGGCTTTGTGAACGAAAGTCAAACCGTCAAAGACAAAAACAAAACCTGACCAACAGCAATATGAAGCAGAGGGCAGGCCATTTGGCTGCTGCCCGCTCGCTGGTGCCTCAGTGTGAAAGCGACGGGTGCGAGAGCTGAAGGGAGGCTCATTTGAGGAGAGACAGAGAGAGGTGGGAAAAGACTACAGAGAAAGAGAGAGGGAGGTCCAGGAAGTTGCAGGAAGGGGTTCAGGGGTCAATTCAGCCTGCAGGCCCTGGTGACGCTTTAAGGGCTCTGGCCTGTATTGCATCACGGGAGTCCTTGGCGTGTCCTCTTAATCTTGCCTCTGTCCAGACGGATTCTTCCCTGTGGCTTTGTGCACACACAAAGACACACACACACATAGATAAAAAACATGCACCTTGGCTCTTTGTGTGTGAGGAGTCAAACAGACAGTGGTGGGAGAAGTACTCAGTTACTTTACTTAAAGGAATACTCCAAATGACCATTTGTATATCAGTTCGGCTACATGCTGTGTGTTACCTTGAATTCATGAAGAAAACTTTGTTTTTCTCGCATGCCTCCACGGTGAATGGAGAATCCAAAAAAGGTGAACATTCTTCATAAACTGAAGTAAACGGGCCGTGTTTAACAGCAGCAAAACTGTATCAAAACATCCTTTATAAACTCACACAACTCCTGCAGTATAATCCATGTCTCATATATCCAGTCATATGCTCAGCACTTTCACTAAATTCTCTCCCCCACGACATTCGCAATATTGACTCCCCCTCCAATGTCAAATCCCGTCTGAAAACACACCTTTTCCAGCTGGCATATTCAGTCTGATTTAATGGTGACACGCATACGTCGATCTGCACTGATGATGATTTTATACCTAATATTTATGATTAGGATTTTTGTCCCATCATTTTATTAACTCTTATTGTATGTTACAGAATTGTTTGATTGTATGAGCTATGGACACATTACTGCTTGTTTTTTTAACCGTGTCTTGTAAGGTGTGCTTGAGTGCTCTGAAAGGCGCCTATAAATAAAATGCATTATTATTATTATCACTACAAACAGTCTCACGCTCGGCCGAGGAACATGCCTGGGCCCGCACTTGCATTAGAACTCTGCTCTAATGGAGCTCATACGGCCTACGTACACTTGGGCACGCCGAAGACATGCTACTCGTATGCAGAGGTGTTTTAAATAGTAATGTTAGCAACCCTTTACAATAAGGTACACAAAATTAGAGTAGTTACTGAGGAACTAATGAGGAACTAATGAGTAGTTACTGAGGAACTAAGGTACACAAAATTAGAGTAGTTACAGAGGAACGAATGAGGAACAAATGAGGAACGAATGAGAAACTAATGAGGAATAACTATTACTTAATCATTACCTACCCTTTTTGTGTACCCTAAAGTAAAGCGAGACATCAAAATGATTAGGTGATGATTACTGAATCATTACCTACTCATTAGTTACCCTTTTTGTGTAAGGTACAGGTTACAGTAGTTACTGAGGAACCATTAACTATTAACTAATGGTTAGTTCCTCATTAGTTCCTCAGTAACTACTCTAATTTTGTGTACCTTAGTTCCTCAGTAACTACTCATTTGATCCTCATTAGTTCCTCATTAGTTCCTCAGTAACTGCTCTAATTTTGTGTACCTTAGTTCCTCAGTAACTACTCTAATTTTGTGTACCTTAATTCCTCAGTAACTACTCATTAGTTCCTCTATAGTTCCTCAGTAACTACTCATTTGACCCTCATTAGTTCCTCAGTAACTACTCTAATTTTGTGTACCTTAGTTCCTCAGTAACTACTCATTAGTTCGTCATTAGTTCTCAGTAACTACTCTAATTTTGTGTACCTTAGTTCCTCAGTAACTACTCATTAGTTCCTCATTCATTCCTCAGTAACTACTCTAATTTTGTGTACCTTAATTCCTCAGTAACTACTCATTAGTTCCTCTATAGTTCCTCAGTAACTACTCTAATTTTGTGTATCTTATTGTAAAGTGTTACCATAATGTTTGGGCAAAAATGTGTATGTTTTTTAAGTATTGAGCATACGATTGGATAAATGAGACTTGGATTAAACTTGTGTGGGAATTTTTTTTTTTTTTTTTTGATTCTCCGTTCACTGTAGAGGCATGCAAGAAAAACAAATGTTTCCTCACAAATTCAGCGAAACGTGGTGAGTAATTCACTACACTAGTGGAAGAACTCCTTCATGTACAGCAGCTTAAAATATGCTTTGAGGGATTCTGCGTCTGTTGTGAAGGCACATCTCACATCTGGGCTGAGTAAGATTGACAGGTTTTTTCTCTGAGCTGAAGTGAACCTCTCGCCCTGAGTGCGTGTGTAATGAGAGACAGGTCTTATGACAAGCACTAATCAGCCCAGACTCTTGACCCTGGAGCAACAAGGCTGACACCAAGGGGATACACCCCGACACTGCTAACAACTCCCCCAACCTGTGTGTGTGTGTACGTGTGTGTGTGTGTGTAGAGTAGTGTGTCATTTCAGGTAATAGAGTTCATGTTGAGTGAATTTTCTTCAAAATGTGAAAATATTCTGATATGGAAGGGTTATTAAACCATATTTTAAGACATTATCAGGAATTAAATAAATGTTAAGTGATCTTGTTGGTCTTTAAAAACAAATCTACGTTTGTTTTTTTTTTTGTTTTTTTTTTAAATGTTTAAAAAACCAAAGTCCCTTTGAAACCAGTTATTTCCAAACCCCGAGTTCTGTCCTTCCATGATACAGAAAAAGCAATCCATGCCCTTATTGCATCAAGACTGGACTATTGCCTTTATCTTAATCTTTCCAGTTTCTATTAACTCTATTACAGATGGTCCGAAATGCAGCTGCAAGGATGTTGACACGTACTTAAAAGTGAAAGCACGTCACCCCAGTTCTAGCCTCTCTTAATTTTATCCTCATTCACTTAAGAATTTGATTTAAGATGTGAAAGATCAGCTTCCAGTCTCTTAATGGTCAGACCCCATCTTATATCACACACCTTAATTACTGGCACTCGGCCCGTAGTTCTCTTAGAACTGCTGACAAATTCCTTGGACGACCTACCATCACAACTAAAACTAAAGGTGGCAGAGCCTTCGCGCTCTGGGACCAGTTCCAGTTATATATCATGTGTGCTCCCTCCATCTCCGATTTGAATTAAGGCTAAAGACACTTTTATTCACCAGCCTTTTTGGCCCACTAATCCTTCAACTTGGTATCACGTCTATAATTCTGTATTTATACATTGGTGTTTATTGTTGTTGTTGGTATATAGGCCCACTCTTTTTTACTTTATATTTTAATGACCATTTAGCTGCACTTGGTCAGCTTAAGCTGGATTTAAATGTGATCTAGAACGATCACCATAACCACCATCCTCAAGAGGGACAAGACAAATACAGTGACTAAGATGTGGATCATTGGGTCTAGTTACATTCAACAAGGGACTCAGTGCCAAAGTTTAGTGGTTTGGCAAAAGAAGCATATGTCGGAGTGGTGTTCTTGTTCCCTGTTTTTATGCAGAGTTGTCAAACTCTCTGAGTCCCTCTGACATATTGGTTGACCACACTAGTGGTCCAAATGAAGAAGGATCTGATACAGCTCAATGCAGAGTTTCCTTTAGTGAGGATTGCATGTTCCTGCATCAACACCCGGCAAGTGTGGAGATATGGATAGCTAGAAAAGGTCAACATTGTCAGGAAAGCCATCAACAAATGCATAAAAAAGGCTACTGGCAACTTCGGCGGAGAGGTTAGTGAACGTCCCTTCCAGAGATATTTCGACAGGGAAATATCAGAAGCCCGAACCACTGACCCCTTTCGGCGCAAAGGAGCAGTGGCTCTACTCCGAGCTCCCTCCGGATGTCCGAGCTCCTTACTCTATCTCTAAGGCTAAGCCAAGACACCCTTATGAGAAAACTCATTACAGCAGCTTGTATCGGTGACCTCATTCATTCCGTCATTACCGGAAGCTCATGACCATAGGTTAAGGTTGGAACCATAGATGAGGTAAATCTTTGACATTGGACCTTTAAACGTCAAGACATAGTCTTAAATTTGAATTTGTGATCTTAATTGCTACAAACATTTGATCTTATTTCTTTTTGTCAAAATAAGTCCAGCTCTCCAGTGTGAAAGTCCACATCTCTGATGTTGCACGTTTAAAACCTACCACTGAACCTAAAAATGTCTTTTTGCTTCACACTTGAAACTTACCTGTTCGCAAAATGTTAATTAATCTAGCTCACTCTAGTAACCATATTCCAAATTAAACCTACCTCTGCCAGGGACCACACATATACTACTTACCTTTATACTTCCCTGCAATGCTTGAGTAAGAAAAACATGATTTGTCCAAAAATCAGTCGTAAATTTGGTTAAAAAGTTATCTTGAAAAAGTTTTAAAAGCATTACATTTTAGTGTCCTATACCCAGAGACACCTTGTTAATGAAAAACTAAGTATGATTTTCAAAAAGTTTGCTACACACTGTTCTTGTTTGTCACATTTCCCAAATGGATTGTCAGATAATGAAGGCATTTTTAAGACTTGAAGCTGGTAATACCCCTACTGCATCCAAAAAAGGCCCATGTGTATCAATGAGTGCTTGAGATTTACTGTTATGTATGTGTGCGTGTGTGTGTGTGCGTGTGCTGGCTCCTACTGTATTACCGTCTCGGTGACACTCAGCAGGAGTGACAGCAGCTTTCTAGGACTATCATCGGCCCTGCTGATAAGAGGAGCCTCAGAGCAAACACAACACACTCCCAGCTCCTTACACGTAATCGCTGAATCTACAAAAGAAGCAACATCAGATGTTCTCATCCAGGTAAGTTTATTGTTATCCAGGGTGCACTGACAGACCAGTACAGTTACACAGCACAGACAGGAGTGAGCATCCAATAGAAAACAGAATCTGATCTCACTGTGGTGTTTATGTCTGATAAAAAGGGTTAATAGTTGAGATGTGGACCTGGTAATTTACAGAATGTGTCAGTTAACATATATCGCAGTGCAGTGGAGTACAACAGAGTGCAGCATCTACAGTGGAGTGATTATCTGTGTTGTTAGAGACGTGTATCACAATGCGTTTGATATATGCTGCAGTAAGTCTCATCTGATTATACATGAAGTGATATATGGCATGTAATGTCACCATGGCAATGTTTACCATGTAATTCAGTCATTGTAGATATTACAAAATCTGCATTAAGATCTGCGTTGCAAGTTAGCAGATGTGTCGCTCAAACATAAAACAATCAAAATAAAAAGGATTTGATTGATGAGGCAGTAAGTGATTGACATAAGTTGGACATTATTGAGGCTTTGAGACCTGGGTGTACCTCTCACTTAGCACGACATCCTTTAAAAGGTCTATTTACAAGACACGTATTATTTATTGTTTGATACATTTTCCATAGTATTAAATATATTATGTAAATCATATTCTCCCATGCAGAAAATGCAGTGTTGTACAGTAAAGAGAGTTTCCTCTGTTATTCATAAAAACAATCTGTAAAAGGGCTGGTATCAGATGTGTGGTTGAAGCCTCATTCTTTTTTATTCTTTCTTCAATATATGAAAAAACGCACTCTGTTCCAGCTATAATCTATTAAATAATTCAATCTTCATATAACTAAACACTTTACTCAACAACAAAACCATCTTCTACATCAAAATATTTTGTTCATTTACCTTGTTTAGTGTCCATCTCTGTTACTGTATGTGGGCTGGTTGGCTGTAAAAGGGTTTGGCAAAAAAGTCTCGTAGGAAATGAGATATCATATCTGTTCCTACATCAGTTCAACGCAAACCCAGCATCAAATAAGAAGCTCAACCTGTCTCACTCACAGCTAATCTCAGTGGGCTCTCTGAGGAATGATGAAAGTGTTATAGGTGGCGACAAACTGAGTGTATTGCACGTGTGTTCTCAGGAAAGCAGACTTAAAGCTGGGGTAGGCGGCTTAAGTTTGGCTTCAATGGGCAAAATCCCGTAATAAACTTTGATCACATTGTAATTTAAGTGGACTGAGAAGACTAGACTTCTGCACCTCCTCTTGGCTGTGTTTTCAGGCCTTAGAAGATTTAGGCTGTAACAGGAGACTATGGCCAATAACAGGTTATTTCAAAAAGAGAGCGTTCCTAATGGCTGTTCCACATATGCAGATATGTGTGCACATCCCTTCGGTGAAGGCCCGATTCAGTAGGTCCTGCTGAGAATGTTGCTATTCAAGTATTGGCACCTATACTGTAAAGCAACCCGAAAAACACTTGTTAATATCTGTGAAGCGTTTCAGAGATGAAGAGAAAACCTTCTGCTAACCAGAGCTAAAGGCTGTGGCTTCAAGTTCACCTTCACGTAGCTACTATTAGAGCCTCGAATCACAGGGAGTCCTCCACCTCACTTCCCGCTGCTACAGACCACCTCACCGGTAGGAAAGTGGGCAGCAGCTTCGGAGAAAGACCCCCAGTAAGCGGCCACAGCTATCCGAATCCAGCAAGCACAAATCCCAACTCTGGGGAAGTGGCCGGACAGCCCTGAGTACCTGCCGGATCAGCAAACTTTCTGTTGCTGCCATTACACAGGTTAGTCCCCAGCCTGCTGTGGAGGTGTGCGCTGGCTGAATTTCAGCTGCTGACCAAAGGTCCGTCCCCTGAGATGCTGCCCGCTCTCCTCCCATGGAAGCAGTCCACAGCGTAAGGAAGCAAGGCAGAGGGATGCTGGAGTGCCTAGCTAGCTAATACTTGTCTAATTTGCAAAGGGGTGGCAAGAAGGGGCTGAGCAAATGAGCTGTGTGCAACTCTACAAGGAAATAGGATTATTTAACTCCATGTAAGGAAACACTGTGGGTGCATATGTCTGTGATCGTCTGGTGGGAGGAGGGTGAATTTTCAAATTCTGCTGTTTTTTCCCTTTTCCAGATTTCAGCCTACCTCAGCTTTCAATCTATGTCAGTTTAAATGGATGACAAAAAGAACTTAATTAATGCAGTGAAAACAGATAAATGTCACCTTTCATTCTCACTTGTGTCATTTGGCTTACAGCTCATGTATGAGGAGTGTAAAAGCAACAATGTAGTCGTTGATCATCACTCAGTACCAGCACTTGTAAATGTATAAATTATTGCACCACACATGTTGTTAAGTGTTCCCTGCACCAAAAAGGTTACACAGTAAACCCTCTGTGAGATAAAGACATGAGCAATTTACAGGGAAGGTAATACTGCTTCTTGGCAAATTCCATACAAAAAAAAACAAAACAAAAAACAAAGTACATGGGGACTGAGTGGCCATACACAAAATGAGTGGTGTGTGCAGAAATGCATAATCTGTATTTACTTTATATCTATTTGAGTGTCCAGTCTGAGGGGAGTTCATTCAGGACAGCCAGTCTCCCAGCATGCAGTTCTGGTTCCCGCAGTCCCACAATGCACAGCGTCTATTTGGGCCAGTCCACTCTGGCAAAGAAAGGGTGGGATTTGATATCATCCACACCTCCCACACCTGCCCCCAGTCTCTCCATTGGGTTGTACTGGAGCAACTGCAGGACAAGACGGAGACCAAAAGCAACACACACATTATTTATTAAGTAGTAATAAGCCATGCCATTGTGTCTGTCTGTCCACTCCTTCACAACACAAACTACGCTTGGTTCATGGCAGATCTGTGCCATGTTAAGCAGAGACAAACCCACACTCATCATATTAATATACATCCAAAGATAACCAGTGTTAAAAAGTGTTAAAAATAATATTGCAATATTTTTTTGGCTTTTTTTTTTGGCAATTTGCAAACTCTAAAATACTGTAGAATGCTAATATACTAAATTATTAATACAGTTACGATAAATTTGAATAAATGACTGTTACAATAAAGGCTGAAGTGTTGATGTTTGTGCCGCGAACATGAAGCTCTCAGTCAACAGTTGTTGTTAGCAGTTAGCACAAAGTTAAACTGCTGCTGCTGTGCCTTTAAACATGAGAATTTATTCACTATGAGCTGTAAACACACTAACAGCTCTCCAGTTCATACATTAATAGTACTTGCAAGTCGCACTGGTGCTCCATAGTTGCAAAATGGGACTAAATAGTTGCAGTCTGGAGCCTTAAAGGTACAAAGACTTCCTCTGCTCACACTATCATTAATCTGATAAAGTTAAACCGTTACTGTGGCCTCATTAAACATGATGGTTTATTAACTGTAAGATGGAAACAAACTAACAGATCTCCAGTTCATAAATTATTAGTATTTAAAGTTGCACTGGTGCTCCATGGTTGCAAAATGAGACAGAATAGATGCTCAGCATTTGTAGCTTAGTGTGAATATGCAGCTCTTCCATGAAAAATAAAAACTGGAACATAGCAGTTGTGGTGGATGCCTGCCATCACTGCAGTTGGCTTGTCAATAGTATTGCTATTCTGCGGTTATCACGACAGCTCTACACCATAGGAAATGATTATTGTGTTTACAAACCAGTAAGAGAGTGAGTTAAAACTTTCAGATACTCATGCAGCAGATTATCACTTTAACATTATCATGCACCATCCCTCTTTAGAAGACGCAGTGAATGTGGCATTAGTCATGTTTCTTTAAATTGCACTTGCAAGTGTGAATGACTGAAAGAATAGATCATAAATACAGAATTACAACAAAAAGACTGTTTTAGGCAGGGAAAATCTATTTGACTGAGCCACTCAATTAAATTCTGAAAAGATTAAAATATCACCAGTAACACACTAGACTCTCACCTGCTCCAGCAGAGATCTGGCCTCCTCTGAAACAGACTCGGGGATGTTGAGAGCGGTGTGGCGACCAATTCCCGCTGGATGGCACCGCAGCAGTGACTGCACAGAGGGAAGGAGGGGTGGAAAAAATAGATAACTATCAGTCAAAACACAGACAACCTGACAGACTGAGAGCTAGAGGGACTGATGTAGTGACACCCACAGAGCCTAGGTCAATGTGAGAGCATCAGGACAAGACAAATAGGAGGAGACCAAAGAGCCCGAGCACCTGAAACAACACTGATCACACCAACAACAAGGTAATGATGTAACTACTGTTGCTCTTTCTTAGAACTGCTGTGTGTGAGTCAGACAGAGTGGAGTGTCACAGAAAGAATAACATGGAAAAAATGATTGTTAGTTTGTTCTTCATGTATACAGAACTATTTTACTGGAAGAACCAACAGTTAAAGGAACAGTGTGTGAGATTTACGGGAATTTAGTGGCACCTAACAGTGAGGACTGCAGATTGCAACCAGCTGAAACTTCTCCTGGTTAGAATTCCTTCAGTGTTCAGGAGGTTTTTACTGGGAGCCGAATTATCCACAGAGGTCTCTTCTCTCCAAAACAAAGAGACCAGGTGATTAAAGCTGGTAAAAACACTGAATAGAACAGTTTCACGTTAACAAATTGGTGTTTTTTTCGACGATGTGCATTGTGGAAGAGCTGCTAACTATAGTGGCAGACGTGAAACGCAAAAAACGCAAATGGCTACATGACATTTTTGTCTGTTCCGACAGTCACTGTGTCAGATTAGGCGATTATGGAGTCATAAAATCGTGCCATGACTTGGCCGACAGACATGACACACTACATGATGGTCCACACCAATTATCCCTGGTCGTCTTTCACGGCGTGTGTGATGTCATCGGGATATTCTTGTCCTATTTTTACAATTATTGCTATTATTTCAGTCACTGTGTCTGTTCATGTGCCAGCCAAAATGTTGTTGTAGTAACGTAAAAAGCACCACCAGATGGCAGAGCTACATTTGAAGTACCGCATGCAAACATACAAGTCACTGAATCCTCGACAACAAGTTCCTGCAAATTTTTCACAATAAAAGCCAGTTTAGAAAATTAAGGGATTCTCTCAACCGAGGTTATAAAGGGCTTTTAATTTGAAACAGATACAGGAAGTGCTTAGTTTGAAATGATGGCGTGATGCGTTAACTTTATCAAGGCAAAAGGGAGCGGATTAAAAGTAAAAATAGAAAAATATGTTGAAAAATTAAAAATTGAAAAATGTTTCAAAGAAGCTCTGCAGTTGTGGCGAGTAAAAGCCCCGCAACTATTTTTTAATATTAGTATTTTATATCCTCCATTATGAAGATATAACATTTTTGCTAGCTTGATGCTAATGGCAGTACTCACTGGGTTGCTAAAGTGCCTCTGCTGTTTGACGCCATCATTTTCCTTCTTTACTCTGTCGTGGTAACGTCTCTACAGGTAACATCAAAAACCCTGTGGTGTTGTTGTCATACAGTTTCCATGGCAGCAGATCGCTCTGTGTTTCTATTGGTCAAAGTGACAGCTTTGATGGGAGCAGTCGTGAACGACGAGAAAATCAAACATGCTAGACTTTCTGTCAGGATGTTGTGAAGCATCCCAGTTATATTCTACTATGACAAACTACACAAGACAAAATGATGGATTATTGACACTCGTTGATGTTCAGGAGGGCTAATATCGTGTAGTGTGAACCCAGCATCAGGTGAAAAATTTCTTACTTACAGGTGATTATACACTGAAGAAAACATACTTATTATACTATAATATATTTCTGCCAATACAGCCCCCTAAATCCAACACACTGTACCTTTAAGTAGCCGTAAATGTAAAGCCTTTTAATTTGTTTTTAGAGTAACATATAACCACATCAAACTGTCAATTGCAAGGAACTGCTGCACTCACGGAAACTAAAAAAACAGAAATAATCTCAGAAATGAGAGAAAGGGAGCACAAGACCTGCAAGTGCTTTTTCAACCACAGAACGCAGCACCATTGTTAAAATAATTGACAATAATGACCATAATCACTCTATGTTGCAACAGCACATCTTTCAGTGCATCTACACCTACAAATTGAAAATGCTAGAACAGAGCGTGTGCGGCAAGAGAGAGCCCGTCAACTGTTTGTGTTGGGGGACCCTGTGTGTGTGTGTGTGTGTGTGTGTGTGTGTTTTTTCCATCAGTTAGGTCAGTTGCCTCTCTCTTTCTCTCTCCCGATACGTGCTGCAGGAGTTCTGGCTGTGTTCCTAGCTGCAGTCAAGACTGCTCCAGGCAAGATCTTATCCTGCAAGGATCAAGAGACACTATGTGTGCCTGTGTGTGTGTATCCTTGCCAGGGCTGTACCCAGACATAATCATCAAAGGAGACATCTGTGTGACTGAGTTGTTTTTTTCCAGGTAAGTGGGTGTGTATTGTTGTACATGGGAACAGTAGCCTAACACCCCGACTCATGTTTAGGGCCATTGATGGAAACCACTGATAGCTGATATGAAAATATGCCCACTGGCAATCAGTTAGAATTTATTCAAATTTAATAGACGATGAAGAATTGAAGGGACGCTCTGCACCTGCACTGGGTGTCTGTGAGTGTAACTGTGTGTGCATTTGTCCTTCAAGTTGTAATTAGCATGTGTTTGCATGCACGTATCACAGCTGTATTTGTTGTCTCTGAGACACTCCCCTTCCTCCCAAGCCTGTCTTAAAAGACTGTCCCTCAGACACCCTCTGATCCAGGACCAGCCGAGGCGCCACACCTTGAGAGCTGCCCCGGTCTTCACCGTCCACGCCGACCTCAGATCGGCGTGCTCCAAGCCCAGCGCTGCTCCAGGAGCCAGCAAAGGAGGCCCGGGGAGAGGTGACCCCCTGGCCCAGCAGATGGAGCTCAGGCTGGGGGAGAAAGTCACACCGACACCCCTGGCACTCCCCGAGAACCAGAGTAGGAGACGGCAGCCAAGACGCACCTCACATACACACACACACACACCAAAACAATCAACTCCACCTACAGACATGTACAGACACGCGCGCCGAATCATACACAACCTGGCACGACCATAAAGAGTGCGGGAGAGTTGAAAGCCAAGACACCTACAGATGTCCCACAACACCTCAGCAACAAAGATAACATTTTTCACACTTTTTGACTCACCATGCCTGTCAGGAGCTCAAACAGGACCGCGCCCAAGCTCCACCAATCGCACGCTGCCGTCTCCTCACTGATACCTCCCACCTCTGAAACAAGGGCAAAAAGAAGGGAAGAATCAATCAATAAATCAACATGCAGAGAAATTAGTCATGTGTTGGGGAAGAATAATCAGCTAGTGATAGACCAAAAAAACAAAACTAACCAAATATGTGTAATTAAAATCATTCACCAATCTTAAGATTAGCTAAGTGCATTAAACCCCTTCAGTGATCACTGATTACATCAAATAAACTCTCAACGTTAAACACCGCTCCACACTCACATCTTGGATTACTTAATATTTCATTGAATTGATACAATCAATTCAAAACGAGCACAAAAACATGGACACAGTCTCACACACACACACACGCGCACGCACACAAAAGTGTGTTTCTCATAAAAGGGTGATTTGCATAATAAAAAAGCAGTTAAATTGAGGAAACCGTCTGCTGCAACTTCACACCATCTGCATGACCTGACCTCAAACACAAACACACACTCATATGACGTACACACACACACACCAAGAAATGTAAAGCAGGAACAACTGAGAACAAACAGTGAAACATTTCTGTTCAGTGTCCTTAACCCCTGCACCGTTTCAGCTCCTGAGAACACAGCAGAATAAGGCTGCAACAAATGTTCATTTTCATTAGTGATTATTTTCTTAATTATTTGTACAATGTCAGGAAATAGGGGCAAATTAGTAACTCGCAATTTACTAAAGCCCAAAGGCATTTTGATCAGACGTCTCTTTTTTAGCCATTTAATAGTCCAAACTCCAAAGATTTTCAGTTTAATGCGAAAGCAAATTTATTTATAAAGCACAGTTTATACTCAAAGGCAACTAAAAGTGCTTTATAGATGACACAGGTAAAAAGCACAAGAAACAAATGACAAGCCAGCAGAGGCTCAAAGAATATAAATGTTAAAGGCAAACAGAGCAAAAACACATCTGACTTAAAAGAAAATGAATTCCAAGCAACAACAAACAGGAAGGTCTATAGCTTGGATTTGGATTCAAAAGTGCTCAGAATCACCTAAAGTCTCAGCTCCTCTGGCAGTTTGTGCCACATTTGAGCAGCACAGAAGCTCAAGGCAGCTTCACCACAATTAGGTTTGACTCTGAGAACAAGCAGTTATCCAGAACCAGCCGACCTGAGAGGTCTGTGAGGTTTGTACTGGGTCAAGAGATCTGACAAGTACCTTTAACCTAAACCAGTGATTTATAAAAAGCAACAGAAAATTTAAGTTTACAATGAAAGAAGTAAAAAGCAGCAAATAAAGGGTTCCTACACATTTCCAGGGATAGAATTTCAAAACTTTTCCATGACTTTCAAGGACCCGACATAAAGACAAATAATAATAATAATAAAATTCTTGCCCCACTTGCCCTGTGTTTTTCAGACATCAGATTCAAACTCTATTCAAACATAATTTCAGATAGCTGGCATACATAAAAGGTGAGACAGTTTGCAAAGAGAAAATTAAGACACATACATGATGATAACAAAAAATGGTCACACATTGACATATATTTAGCAACAGACAGCTAGAGAACATAAATTTGCCATTGCCATTACTGTAACAACTTCATTACACACAAAAAAAAATCAAAATCAAAACTTTCAATGATTTTTCTTTCCTAGTGATACATATTTGATCAAAATATCGATCGAGCGAATAAGCTCTCAATAGGAGCTGGGGTAAAGAAACACCACCAACAAAGGACCAATGGCTAATAATGTGGAAGAAATCTTTGAGAAATTGACACATGAGACACTGAGACTACAAGAAGCACAACTAGAAAGAACATGGGAGAAATGGACTCTATACAAGACTCAAAAAGACGACACTGGACTGGATTAATAACCAATAGATTCACTAAACCTTAAGGCTGTAAAATGTGTATTTACCCAAGCAGTTTTTGTTTTAACTCTTATTATTTTATTGTGCTGCTGTAACTGACATGTCAATGTCACAAAAATTGTTTTAATTAATTGCGAGAACCCTGCAAATCTGTTCCTTTAAAAACAATTTAAAGGTATACTATGCAAGATTGTCAGTTACTGTTTGTGAACGCGCTCGCCAGCAAAAGTAAAAGTCGACCCCAGATTCCTTCTTGTTTGGCGTTTCACCTCACTATATTTGCATTTTTCGACATTTTGTCTCTTAGATGCCTGCTGCTTATGTTCTGGCACCTGGTTGCTATCTTTTTATAAAGCCCCGACCTCACCTGAGCACTGTTGAGGTACATAGCCATTAACGTCTCAAGCATAGAAAGTAAAAAGAAAATACATACAGAGGGCGGAGTCTCTGAAGAAGAATACACCACCACACATTTTTAGTGGGTCATAAAAGACGATACAAAGGGATTAATTCTGTATGAATCTATACTTTTTTTTTGTTAGGAAAATCCTGCACAGTTTATTCTTAAACGATTAATCCATTACCATATCAGCAAACCCTTGCAACCTTACTATAGACCCTGATGACAGTCCGTCACTGAGACTCATGTCCCGACAAACAAAACTAATCAAAGGCTCGTTTACCATATTTTCCTTTTTCTAAAACCCTCCCTCTTTGGCCTTCAGTTAGTTGATATTTAAAACACATGAAAAGACCACGAAACCCTCTCAAGGCAAAAAAAGTCTGTCCACTGTCTCGCACTGTGAGAGCCTGATCTACAACCAGTCAGACAGCCAGCATTATGGAGATGTGTTGAGACTCCACAATATGTGTTTAAGTAAGACAGAGGAACTGGGAGTGATACTCATTTGCTAAAGTCAAAAGTGTATGTGTGAGTGTGTGAGTGTGTGAGTGTGTGTGTGTGTGTGTGTGCGTGTGTGCTAGCTCCACTGGGTACCAGATGGCCTCTTGTGCCGCTCAGCTTCCCCCTGCTCTCTCTCCAGAGGGCCGGGACCCAGGGTCACGGCTGCATGTGCCCAGAGACCAGGCTCCTCAGCTGGGGGAACATAAGAGACAAAGACCCCTCATCTCCTGGAGGCTGCCGGGAACTCCAGGGGCCAGCGCGGCTCTCTTGCAGCAAAGGTTAGAGAGGGCTATGATACGACTTCCATACACACACACACACACACGCACACACAGCCAACTGAGCAACCAGTCTTCAGGGCTCCCCAGGACTACTGTTTTGACAGCCAAGGAGAGAAGATCGTCATTGAACGGACTAGTGATACCTGCGTAGTTATGAGCTGGAGGGGAGATGCTGGACACACATACACACGCACACGAGCACACGTCTCAGAGCAAGGTCGATGTCATCACAATGGATTAATGTCTAAGGAGCTGCAGGGAGAGTACAGTGGAGCTGGCTACACTTACCGCTCTGTCAGAGCGAGGCAGGGAGAAGGGGAGACAGAGAGAAAGAGGATGGGAGGGGAGAATTAACTGCATCCACAGGCCATGGGTCATTCAAACCCCACTGTTACACTGTGGCATGTGTATGCTTTCCAGTCCGACCGTACCTCCACTACGCTGGCGTTCTCTTTCTTCAACAGCACAAGAAAAACTTTTTAAACGAATCAGGAGAATTCTAAGAAAACAAAAGGATACGGAGCGAGTTAAGACACACCGGCGCAAACAATACAGCGCGTTCACCTCGTGGCCTCTTCTTCTTCCCTTTCCCCTCAACAATACAGTTCCTTCTTGCTTTGTATCTTAATCGCACTCCATCTCCTCTCTCCTGGGGGCCATAAGGAACTTTCTCTCTTCTCCTCTCAGACCAACTTCCCTAAAAACTCAACCGACGGTCTCTGTGGAAAGGGGAAGTGAAGTAGACGCAGGTAGGAAGTAAGGAGGATCGGTGTGTGATGTTCCAAGACTGTGTGTGTGTGTGTGTGTGTCTTATGAGCTGTGGAGGCTCACATAAACCTAATGAGTTATATATTCAAAAATAAACAAAGCAAACCTATGTCTCTACGCTGTGAGGACAGAATATTTAAAAATATTCAAATAAAGCAGAAGTACTTTGAGGTAACAGTTTCTTACTTGAAAAGCTTTTTAAAACAATGGGATGACACGTCTGTGTTAAAAGGGGAACTGAACTTTATCTTCCATTAGATCACACTGTGGCTGAGCAGGTAAAAGGACAGTAAAAAAAAAAAAACACAAAGCGACTATGATGACTGAATCACCACTAACTGACTTCTTACCTCGGAGGGGAAAAAAATACTGAATTTCCCTTTTCTTAGACACTGAAGACAATTGGTTGTGGCCTTGCTTCCCTCTCACCAGAACAATAAACAATTACCGTTTCTGCTCAAACCAGGTTGCGTCACACTGTGTCACTCAACAGCTTGTTTTTTTTGATTCTTATTAGAGAACAAAACATTAGCCATCTGATGTTTATCGGTAATGACAGAATGGTGAGAAAGTAAATAAGCAGAAGTGCAGGATAAATAGATTAATACCCTGCCGCTATGTTTTCCGAGTCCACTCCCGTGTTTTTTTGGGTGTGAATGTGCGCGTTTTAAAAACATGTTTCCCTCCGTCTTACACACACAGCCACACACACAAACGCACATACGGTCACAGCAGGCCCCCTGCTAGCTTTCTGGCAAACAGTCATAAATCTGTCATCAGGAATGAAGCCATCGCTGGAGCTGACCCTGTCTGGATAAACAGCAATACATAACAAGGGCAGGAGAGACACACACTCACTAACCTCTGCGTAAGTGTGTGTGTGTGTGTGTGTGTGTGTGTTAACAAGCACATGCATCTACAGCTACACGCATGTACCAAACATAGGGGTTTGCAGGGATAAAATAAAGCATATAGAATAGCTGTTACTCAGTGATATGTAACACAACAACAAAGACAGGTGGACGTAAGAGACGCACAATAAAAAGAGAAAAAGTTGCCAGTGTTCGAGAGCAGCACCGTCAATGGAGGTAGAAGTGCTACTATTGCTCAACAACAGCATAACACACCCCCTGCTGGCTGCTAATATGTATTACATCCATTGATCCACATGGGATCAACAGTCGTTTAACTAACAAGACCTTTCACACCTGCGCTGAGGTCAGTTCATTTCACCAAGGCGCCAGCTCTTACCCCAAAAATTCTCTTATCTCAGAATATTTTATATTATTTGTGTGAGCTGACTGTAAACACCATCCACGTGTGATTCAAATAACACTGCTCTAATGATTTTTATTACGTCAGGAACTGCTTTGAATGATATGCAACTTTTATGTAAAGACAAGTTTCTATTTTTTTTGCCTCCACAGACACTGTGTGCAACACTGGTCTTCAAACATCTATATTCTACAGTGCTGAAAAGAGAAATGTATTAGTCAATTAATAATTTACATTATTTGTCAGCAGGTTATCTACAGGTATAAACAAGCTAAAATTAACTGTTGTTAACACTTTTTAATACCACTTTTTTGGTCTTACTTTAAGCCCAAACTTGGGATGGAAATACATGCCGTAAGTGAAAATATCCTCTTTCCAAGACCAAGTAAACACACTGATGTCAGTTCAAAATGAACATTAATGTAAAATGATACTGATCCACAGTAAAAATAAGCAGGCAGTCTGTTTAGTAAGGCCTCAGTTTAACGATGCATTTTCATCGTGTGATCTTAATGAATAGAGGGGGCGAAAATAAATGTTAAATTTTGTTCTGGGGTCTAATATTTTTTCCCTTCTGTTAATATTATGTATCTCATAATGGCAACGGTGGAAATTCTCACAGTAACGTGAAAAAACAAAACATTAAAGATCCAGCTAATCTGAATTTAAGACAACTTTATACTCTTAAAACCCTTTAATTAGTAAATGTGAATTTAAGATATCATAAGACCTTTTAAGGACCCGCAGCCACCCTAGTCAAGTTAGTCAACCAAACACTGCTTGCAGCTTTTTAAGTCTAAGTAATTGTTCAATTTTCCAAATTTCATGCCATTTTAAAGTTTCTAGTTATTTGACTGCAGGTCAGACAAAATATAACATTTGAGGAAAGCACACTAAAAACAGTAATCAACACTTGTGGGTGAAAACAGTCGATGCTTGCAGTCCTAAACTTGGACTTTTCTTGATAAAACCAGAAGGGTCTTAACAGCGCTGTAATAATTTAACTGTAAATCAAATTAGGGCTACACGATATATTGATATTAAATCAATACTGCGATTTAAGACTAGATATTGTCTTAGATTTCAGGTATCTTAATACTGTCAGTGTCTTTTCCTGGTTTTACAGGCTGCATTACAGTAAAATGTTGTAATATTCTGAAATTAACTTCACTGTTCTAGATGATTTAATATTAGCCATTACCCACTTAGTCGTTATAGCCACATTACTGATGAATATTTATCAAAAATCTCAGCTTACATATTAAACTGGGCTAGGCAATATGTTGATATTGTATCAATATTGTGATATGAGACGAGATTTTGTCTTAGATTTTGGATATCTTAATACTGTCAGTGTCTTTTCCTGGTTTTACAGGCTGCATTACAGTAAAATGTTGTAATTTTCTGAACTTAACTTCACTCTTCTAGATGATTTATTATTCGCCTTTACCCACTTAGTCATTATAGCCACATTATTAATGATTATTTATCACAAATCTCAGCTTAAATATTACACTGGACTGGGCAATATATTGATTGTATCAATATTGTGATATGAGACGAGATATCGTCTTTCTAGATTTTGCATATCTTAAAACTATAAGTGTCTTTTTCCGGTTTTACGGGCTGCATTACAGTAAAATGTTGTAATTTTCTGAACATAATTCACTGTTCACTGTTCTAGCTGATTTATTATTTGCCTTTACCCACTTAGTTGTTGTAGCCACATTACTGATGAGTATTAATCAAAAAATCTTAGCTTACATATTATATCGTTGCAATATCGACATTGAGGTGTTTGGTCAAAAAAGGTGATATTTGATTCTCTCCACATTGCCCAGCCCTAAAGCAAATATACATTTTGTTAGCATCTACCTTTTAAAAAATGAATACTTAATTAAATTGCAAACCAAATTCATCTTTACATAGAGAAGACTGTTCAGCATATTACAGGCTGCCTTTCAAACCTACCGCCCACACACTCTGACAAGTGTTAAAACCTCTAGCTGCTTATGTTAACAAGAAAATGACTACATTAATTACACAATGACTTAAGTGGCAAACACGTCTCGGTTTAGCACTCAGATTCGAAGCTACATTATGCACAAAGCTCCTTGCGCTGAGCTTCACTCCTGTGTGTCTTTAGGTCATCTGCTGCTGGCCACTGAACATATGCCTCTATGTGCTTCTATTTCCATTAGGAGGCTTTTAAACAACCTGTTGCTAGGGGAATAAAAATGCACACTTTGGATATTAGATGGAGCATTTGTTGCTTTCAGATTTATTACAACAGTGGCATACTGTATGTGCTAGTCACAAGGAGGATTTAAATCTGAAGTGACCTTCCTGGCTTGAGAGAGAGGATGAATACAAGAGAATAGCTTAAAATAAGTGTGTGGGAGAGTGAATGGGTGTGAGGGTCGTTGTCTCGGGAGCTCGTCCGCAGTTTTTAGCGATCCATCCTGCATGTTTAAGAAAGGTGTAATCAAGCCAGCCTCCAAAATGTAAAGCCATACGCTTAAAGCAGCAACACACTGGAAAATTTCTCCGCCCATAGATGTCACGTGCACACACCCAGGCATACACACATAAACGTTCCCCCCCACACACAGAAGTGCTAAGTAGGGACATGGTGCTGTAGTCTAGCAGCAGTTTGTTTTAGGCAGCTTGTAAACAGCATGCCAGAGCTGCCACAAGCCTGCTGAGGGCAACACATGGGGTTACAGCGCTGCTGGCTCACTGCTGCACAACAGCACACTCTACAGGACAATCAGAGAACTGCTACAAGAGCAAGCCTCTGAACAGAAAGTACAAAAACAGAGATTTCTAAACTAAAATGTTAAATGCTACTGCCATGATGACTACTCTGTGTAGCCTTTATATGTGATTCCTTTGAGGGAATACTTTGCCAGTTTTCAGACAGCTTTGTATCATAATAACAAGGTTAGTATGTCTAAATGAACTGTGGTAAACGTTCCCCATCTTACAAGATCTCCCTGCTCATCTCTCAGCTCAAGTGAGTCATCCTCCAGATTTTCACTGGCTCTAAGGGCTTTTGCTTGTACTCCAGATTTACTTCTGCTTGAATTCTGACCACACTCAAATCAAACTACAAAACTAGGCAGTGCTGGCCAAATACAAACCAAGATTCTGTTACTTTATTGCTTATTTCTTGCCTAAAATGTATTCAGAAAAAACATTTTTGTGCACTGTTTGGCTGTAATATGAGAATGTGTGAACAAGTAGTGGGCGCAACAGTTTCCTGTATTGTAAAAACAGAGGCTGAAAATTCTCAAATGATAAAACTAAGCAGTGCGGATCAAATATGAAACAAGATTCTGTTAATTCATTGCCAAAAACTCATCTGAAATGTCCTCAGAAACATTTTTTGTGCACTGTTTGGCTGTAATATGAGAATCTGTAAACAAGTAGTAGGTGCCACGTTTCCTGTATTGTAAAAATGGAGGCAGGAAATACTTAAATGATAAAACTAGGAAGCGCTGATCAAATATGAACCAAGGTTATGTTACTTTATTGCTTATTTCTTGGCTAAAATGTCCTCAGAAACATTTTTTGTGCACTGTTTGGCTGTAATATGAGAATCTGTGAACAAGTAGTGGGTGCCACATTCCTGTATTGTAAAAATGGAGGCTGAAAATACTCAAATGATAAAACTAAACAGTGCTGATCAAATATGAAACAAGATTCTGTTAATTCATTGCCAATTACTCGCCTGAAATGTCCTAAGAAACATTTTTGTGCACTGTTTAGCTGTAATGAGAATATGTGAAGTAGTGGGTGCCTGTATTGTATTTGGAGGCTGAAAATACTGAACTCAAATGGTAAAACTGAATTGATCAAATACAAACCAAGATTCTATTACTATGTTGTCTATTTCTGGCCTAAAATTTTTTCAGAAACTTATTTTAGTGTACTGTTTAACTGGGATTCAGGATCATTTGTTACGAGCTGGCCACCATAATGTTTCAAGTGTTGAAATGAAAAAACTCCCATTATGTCATCCACCAGTTTGAGCTTTTATTGGTCTGGTGCTGCGCAGTGCATTCTGGTAGTTGTAGGTGTCTACCTCTCCAGCAAAAACAAACGCCACAACACTTGTTCTCCATTTTTCTGGTCATGTAGCACCAAATTCAAAAGTATTTGTGTCTTTCTACTGCACAGACAGTCTTATTTCATTAACAGACCATCTTTCCATCAGTGAAATACTTATTTAAAAGCAACAAAGCAAAAGAACAGAATGAAAAAAGCACTTTTGCGTATGGGTTTCGGTCGATTTCAGAGTCAAGAAGAATCAGTGTTTGTGTGTTTCTACTCTCGAGGGTAGTTTGTGTACACTTGGATTGTTTATTCATGTCTGGCTATGAATGAGGGTTTTGTGACCATGGGAAAGTGGCCTACTTATGGCCTTGCATGCCTGCATAGAATTAACCCCACATAAGCCTCCTAACTGACACGCACACACACAAAATGAGGCACCCAATTAATAAGTATAGAACGTGTACATGAGAGAATCACAGAGTGTATTAGCATGTATGTCTTTCCTCACCTGGTGCACAGTACATATTGGCGATGGCCTCTTTGTCACAGGACTCCTCCACATCATTCCAACTACAAAAGTAGGTGAGCTGAACGTGACCTAAGGAGACATGAAGAGTGGGAAAGTGTGTAAACTCAGAGTGTAAGACACATTCATCTAATACTCTACCTCTGATCAACCCCACACAGTCAAGTGTCACCTCGACTCACTACTTTTCAAACTGTTTACTCACCTTTGGAGCACTTCCTTCCTCCGTTCCTTTCTGCCTCTCTACATCCCTCCGCGAGCTTTTCAAGCACACAGCCCCGGCGATTACTCCTGTTTAGCGGCTACCCGTTAACGCTATCATTAGAACTAATGGTGTCATTAGGTAGCCGTGGCCATTAGCCTGGGCTAGCCAGACTGATGCACCACACTACGCCGTTGATGGGCCCTTTAGAACAATAATTACCACCAGGGAGACGAAAACAGCCACTCAGCTAATTAGACGCTTGTTGATAACGAGGTGGAGAGAGATGATTGTAGGACGACAAAGGAAGAAGTTGAGGGGGAATCTGTGACCTCTTAGTAAAACAACACTTTTGCATCTGGAAGAGCCTTCATTTTAGTAAATAGATTACATCATGGTTGACTGAGAGAGACGGTCCCTCAGTCAAATACTATCCGCACTAATAAAGGCATAAGCAGAGATTTCAACTTCGATAATTCTCTTTTTATGCTTGAGAAAACAAGCAAAACAATATGACATCCACACAGTACAACTGCTTCAGAGAGATATGGTTTTATGCTGGCTGTAAAGAAATATGAGTAGATGTCACCAAGAGTTTATAGGATTTTCATTAGGTATTTATTGAACTATTCATCTCTGAAATATCTGCAGTGACGCTCTCAATAGGCCACCAAATAGGCTGTAAATGATTCTCCTCCTGCAGCATCTGTTCAGTGCGTTTCTTGGAAGTTGACTTTTAAATTCATGTCAAGCTCCCTGGTTTTGTAATTTGGTGCGGTGTATCCATCTTTGCTTTTAAAGTAATCTAAATGGCCCGTTATCTCCACCATGAAATGACAGGAATCATGTGTTCGGGTTTAACAGCAAGCAGATGTTTGCATTCTCTCAGTCCATTAAAGTTTAATAAGACTCACAGATGAATCTCGCACTAAGCTGATCTAGATCTCTTCTAAAATTTCTGTAACCAAACTGTATTGTAATGCTGCCCTGATATTATAGCTTGTCAGTAGCAAAATAAGTGACATTATTGTTTGGCAGTATTACAACTAATATTCAGGGTTCCTACATGCTTTTACTAATGAATTTTCAAAAGTTTTCCATAAAATTTTACCCCATTTCCATGACTTTACTTAACCCCGAGAGACCCATGGGACCTTTGACGATCTTGGATAACTTTACTGTCTTTCAAAGGCTATAGCAGGCTGAGATTTGAAGCAAGAGCAAAGATACTGGTATCATGTGCTACTAGAGAGAAACCTCAGTAATCCATTGGTACCAACTATATCAAGCTAGTTTGTCACAAAGGGGCTAAAATAACACTCCAAAGTTAGGCTACATTTTGGCAAAGGAAAAACTGGCATGACCTTCTGCGTAGGGATCCCTTGAACTCTGCCCTCAAGGTATCAGAAAGTGGTTCAGTGGATACCCACGAGTCTCCCCTGTACAGACATGCCCACTTTATGCTAGTCCAATACAGTGCAAATTGGTTGTTGTGGATTCAATGAGCTCAACTTTGTTCATGTTTGATGATTTTAGCCCCCATAGCAGCCATTTCGTTGTAGTAAGACCTTTTTTGAAACTTGACCTCACTGCAAAATATGACCTATAGAGTGTGCCAGGGCTGACGTCAAAACCTGGAAGTTTAGCATTGCGCTGGTTCCCGGAAGAGAATGTGAATGTGATTTTTGCATTGCATTTTGGATTATGTCAGGAAATAAGCTCTGTGGCTAACACAAGTTTATAATACTTACAGGTTTTGTTCAGCGAGATAATCTTCACATATGAACACTTTTCATACCACATTTAAAGCTTAAATGCGATCACCAGAAGTAAAAAGCTAATGTTAGGCTTTAACGGACTACATGACTACTCCACGGTCGCATGACTCTTGACGTTACCGCCACTAAGCTTTCAACTGATTTCGGCCGCTTTATTTTAAAAACATTGTATAATGGGGAAATCAGACTGTTTAAGCTAAATAAGAAGCTGTAATGGCGGACTGCCAGCACTCTCGTCTGTTCGGGGGTGATGATGTTTAATGTCCCCAACAGGGTTTGTAGTCGTATTGAGCAACTTGTTAGCAACCACCTTTTTTACGACACATAAAAGCTTCAAAATTCACAAGTAGGGTATTTACTGACGTGTTTTATGTCGTAGAACAAAACCTGAAACTCACTTAAGCTTTTGTTAACCACAGACCTTATTCGAGGCATTTTACCAAAATCCCATTCAAAAAACAATACTGGCACACTCTATTGTGACCTCGTGAATAATCTCAGCGTCATGAAACCTTACAAGCAGAAGATAAAGGCCTCGGGCATTCAGAGGATGTGGAGGAGGATGTATCAGAGGATGTATTGCTTTCATAGGTATATTGACAACGAGGGGGTTTCTTAGCAGTTTTCGGTGCTCGCTGTCCTATTCCTGAAAAATGCAATTCTTACATAAATCTCCAAATGTCAAATTTGCATGGATTTTTCTATGGTGTTCTCCAAGGTCTTGGTGTCTTAATGTCTGTGAAGTTTTGACCATTTTTATCAATTCTTGTGCATACATTTAGTACCAAATTCTTGTATCAAATGTGTATCTACCCAAAAATTGCTGCAACAACTTACGGCACATGATTGAGTGTGGGAAGGGCCATCATATAGTTCCATCATAATGTTTTAAGCCTATATACACTCTTAACATACCTTTAAAAATGTAAATAGGTGCCTAACCAAAACACAAAAATTGTTACATATTTATGACTAGAAAGACTTGACACAGTGCTGAGCTGCATCTCAAATTAACTCCAGGTTTTCTGCTTTCAGATGATTTATAGCACTTCTATTAGACATATACTGTTGACCTGCTATGTCCCCCTAAAGATCCACTGTCCCCATGACTTAAATGGGTCCATGGTAAAGAGGGGTGGAGTAGAAGAGGTTAAGAGAGTGTGAGATAAATGACAAGACTGAGGGATCTGGGTTAACAAAACTTGATAATAAGCTGTGGTATAAATACCTAGGTGGTCGAGCAGGATGTTGTTGGGGTTCAGGTCTCGACAGATGATGCCCTCTTGGTGCAGAGAATCCAGCGCTGTCACCATCTCCACAGCCCAGCATCGTACAAAGTCCTCCGGGATACGAGCTTGGGATGCAGCCAGCGACAGCTCGTCCAGCTCTGCGAACAGCCGCGATACTTCTTTATCAAATTCGCTGCCACCTGTATTACTAATAACTCTTGATGATTCATTATCAAGATCTAATAAAGTCTCAACCACTGCACAGGCCTCAGTCCCGTTTGTGGCTGGGCTTTTGGGGTCTGGATTCAAGTCTGTATTTCTTCTTGAACTGGTCCCTAGTTTATCCTTAAGCGTGTCAGTATCTGGAAGGTCAAAGGGAAGGTCGTTATTTTGGCATGCAGGATGAACCTCCATTTTGTCAGAGGCCTCTTGCCCAAACACCAAGCTGCAGTCATCCCAAAGCGAGTTAAAGGGAGAGGAAGATGCAACACTGGTGTCACAGTTTGCAGAGGCTGTAAAAAAAGATGAAAGCTCCTGCTCCAGTGGCTGCTCCTCCTCCTCCTCCTCAGGCTGGCTGGGAAGCTGTAAAACATCAGGCTGGATGAGCTTCTGAGGAGAGGCTGTGGCCTCGAGGCCCAGACACACCCCTGAAGTTTCAAATTCCTCCTGTAAGGAGTCTACGGTCCCACCTGTTACAGGGAGGTTGACCAAAAGGTCTGGCGGGTGACCCTCGTCCTCTACTACCGCCTCTTTAAATGATATGACTGGCACTGATTCATTGGAGCCTTTATCGCTACAGTCAAACCCCCAAAGCTCCGAGCTGTGGCCCTTTACCTCCTGAGCCAGCTCTGGAAGATCGTCAGTGACATCCGAGCCCAGGTCGGATGTAGAAAAGACAGGGACTGGCTTATGAGAGGTGCGCTGCTCTCCTGAGTCGACACAGGTCACCTCGCTTGCACTGTCTTTACTGTCAATGCGGAAAAACTCCATTGGCGTGTGCTTGGACTGATCCAAAGACAGAGGCACAGCAGGGGAGGGCAAAGGACTGAACACATCACTATTGTCCTGTCCCTCGCCACGGTATTGCTCAATGTCAAGGGTGTGGCCACTTTTTTCGGACGACTCTGTGAAAAAGCCGAGTTCCTGAGAGCTGATGGGTGAAGAGAGGCTGTCATTGCTGAGCAGCGAGCGGCTACGTGAGGAAGTGGTGGTCGTCCCAGCGGGTACCTCCAGTGACAGCACTTCCTGTTCACTCTTCTCTTCCTCCTCTTCTAGTGCATCTGGTTCTACTTTGTCTTGTTCGTACTCATTGCAAAGTGTCAAATAGCTGTTGGTGCACTCCTCCTCAGAGGTGGCCCCGGAGTCCGACTGGGCCCCGGTTTGTTCGATGAGCCTTGAAGGGAGAACATTTTTCTGAGGTGACGCGCTGACTTTCTCCCCTTTGTTCTGCAGCCCTGAGACAGAATCAGAACAAGCAACTGTTCCAGAACCAGAACTGGCTGAACAAGCATCCAGCTGTGGTACAACATGTTGTGGAGAGTGGACAGCCGCTGTGTGGCTCTTCTGGATGAAAGGAATGTCAAAGCTCTCCTCCGGGCTGGAATTACGCAAGTACTTTCCAATGTGAGACCACAGCTTTCCACCTAGAGATGACGGAAACAGGGCATTAAAGACAGAGAAAAAAGAAGGGTGTATCTAACACAGTGGTAAGCAGAGGTCTTAAGACAGAAAGCTGGGCAGTGTCTGGATATTTCAGCAATACAGTAGGAACTTTTCCAGGGACGTTTTTGGGAAATCTCACCTGGGTTTCAACCGAGGTAACTCTGGTCTAAACTTAGTTCCTAGGCCATACTTCCTGTCTTCCAAAAAGTCCTCATTTTATATATGTTTCATTTGATTATTTCTATTGTTTTTATCTTGTGTTGTTAACAGTTATTGTATTCTTTTATTTTGTTTACTCTAATTGTTTGATTTGCTGTAGCTCTGCGCAATCTATAGGGCAATCAGTTGCCAACTTTGCTTATTTACGTCAGTGATGGTATTTTATCTTTCTTATTTTTTGTTCTTTGTATTTTCTTAAAATTGCCTCATTTTATTTGCTTGAATTCGGCATCATTCTAAAATCTGGAATCAACCACGTAAAGCACTTTATGAAAAAAGTTTATTCTTATTATTATTATTATATCAATGGACTGAGGGTTCACATCTAGTTACCCGCTTTGCCCAACTGGTAATTGAGTCAGTATTTGAGAGGCGGATGACTTAAACACTGAAACTTAAAAAAGTATTTAATAAAAAGAAATTAAATGCTCTCTGCTATCCATTTAATTTACCAAATATTCACATTTTTCCCGATGCTATGGCAGTGTGCCTACAGGTATCTCTTACTGTGCATTCACACCAAAAGCGTCATGAGCGCCAGCGGTCGCTCAGGTTGCTGGCATCGCGCTGCCTGGCAGCTCTGGCAGGGCTTGCAGAAGGCTGCCAAGGGGCAGGGCTTTCAAGCTGCACTGCAGAAGATTTCTTTCTTTCTTTCGTTCTTTCTTTCACTGTCCCGCCTTGAGAATATTCCTGGTCTGCAATTGGCTGCTTCTTGCTGCTGCCTCAGCGGCGTTGCTGCTCATTTGCATAAAGTTGAGCTTCTCTCAACTTCACAGTGACGTTCCGGTCACTGGCATCTCACTGCTGCCGATGTTCCAGACGCCCTTCGTAGCAAGCGTACATTGAAAATGAATGGCTGCCGGCCACTTACGACGCTCATGAAGCTTTTGGTGTGAATGCACAGTTACATGTGATGCATTTTAAAACCTTTTCAAGATAATTTTACACCAAATTTAAGACAGATTTTTGGGTAAATCATCTTTCTAATTCAAGCACTGCAAGAAAGGTAGGTAGTATAAATGTGGTCCAGTGCAGTTATTAGAGTGAGTTAGGTTAATCTAAATTTTGCCAACAGGTAAGAGCTCGTATTAACTGTCTGGTTCACTGACAGGTTAACATCAGAAATGTGGACCTTCACGCATAAGAGCATGACTCATTTTGACAAAAAAATAAAACATCTGCAGCAGATAACACCTCACAAATTCAAGTTTCAGGCTATTTAATGTCTTTTAGGGCCTTATATTTACAAAATTGAATTTAAGACATTTTAAGACTTTAAAGGACCTGCAGACACCCTGTGTAGAAATCCAAAAAAGGAATGTGTGAAAGAGACTTTAAGCTCCTGACTTTGGTTTCCTCAGTAGTTACTGAGACTAATTGTTAAAAAGGGTAATTAATTTCCACTTAGGAATGAGTAACAAAGGCAAACTAAAACAGTTACGCCTGAACCCAGTTTGGCTGACTGGTGCTGTGTGTGTGTGTGTTTTAGGTTGCTAGTGTAATGTTAGCATTTTGACTTCTCTCTGTCTTACACACACGCACAGACATACAGATACACACACAGCTGTAGTGTGAGCAATTGGAAGCCAGCATCTGTTGTGTGTGATGAGAATGGATAGGGAGTTCACAGTGATGATAATGATAGCGGGGCAACTCGATGGCTTAGAAAGTAAAACCATCCACATGTTGTTTTGTCCAATGTCACTCAGGTCACTGCCTCCCCCTGTCTGCCTGTCTGTCGTCATTCAACCCATCAGCTGCTAACAGCATACTAAAGAAGCATAAGAAGCAGCCCTGGATCAGAGCTGGGATGTAACTGTGGTGAAACTACGCCTTTTCCTGGCATTTGATTGGCTTTATTAGATCATGTTCATATGATATTCAATACTGTCCACTAATATTAGCACAGAGTGGTTATAGAGTGCACCAGATTGAATAGGTTACAGGGCATTAAAAAATATGGCTGCATTTCATTGAACGCACTCACCCACACACACGAGCTACACACACATCCTAGAGTGAGTGGGATGTAAGGAGGCCCAGGTGTTGGCATAGCTAATGAAGCATGGCGCCACCTGGTATTCAGAATAATGACCTGTGACACACACCCATCTCTATCAAACATCTGTCTGGAACAAGGGCAGAGGGAGGGGTGGGAGAAGAGAGGAGGAGGGACCGGGTGAAGGAGAGGAAAAGAAAGAAGAGGGAAGATGAAAGTGGTGTGCGTCTTACCTTCGGCGTACTGCAGCAAGAGGAAAACTGTGTCTTCAGAGACGATGAACTTCCTCAGCTGCACCATATGGGGCACAGAGTGAGGCATGACTGTCCTCTTTGTGCGTCCACAGTCGCTGCTCTTCCTCAGACCCTGCAATAAGAAAGGAGAGGAAGATGAGGTGAGTAATTAAAGGTGAAGCAAGCAGGGAAATCTGCACTTAAGGACAAGAGGAGAAACAAAAAATTAACCCAAATATGGAGGGTATGAGCGGCAGGAGGTGAAGGAAGGTGAGTGTTTTAGTTTGTGTGAAGAATAAGGCGTAAAAAAATGAGGAGCAGAGTGTGGCAAAGGAGAAACCTTCCATTAGCGAGTTGCCAGCTTTGCCCCATGGCAACCCAAAGTCACTGGATTCATCAAGCCACATACAGCGCGTGACTTTAAAAGAGCCACACAAATCTATCAGCACTACACGTAAAGTTCACATTGGCTGCATGTGTGTGTGTGTAGGGTATGTGTGTGTGCGCGCACGTGTGTGTATTCATCTGTGCCTGCGCTGTGCGTTGGCATCTGGCACACGTCTCACACCTGAGAGCAGAGGAGCTGACAGGGACAGGCCCATTAGAATCAATTACACCGGTCACACACAGGGGCTTCTGGCACACTTCACACTTACACTTACAGTCAGGACGACGAGCAAGCGGGGTGCACACACACACACACACAAACACACACACACACACACACACACACGTATTAAACTTACTTTGAGGATGAACGTCTCTTGTGTTCTCTTGTCCATGACCAAAAGAACCTGTGATGGAAGAGTGCCATTAATTGCCAGGTATGAACAGACAGTCTAAGATGATGTAGTGGTTGTGTCCTCCAGAGCAGTGTTTTTCAACGACTGGGTCAGGGCACACATGAGGGTCACTGCAAGATAAATGTAGGTCCCTAAATTATGCCAGAAAAATTGGCATTAACACGTCTGATCCTGCTGTGTTGCCTAAATCAAGTCCCAGCCACAAAAAAATTACAAAATCTATAGATGTCTCCTCGCAGCTGTCTGCCTCCGCCAACCTGTCAAGATGCAGTTTATATCCATGTCTGTCCAGGCTCATGTACCTGTTATATATGCAGCGAAGACTTCAATAAAAGGGATTACATTTATTTTACAGCGGTGTTGGTGTTGAATAATGGCCAGAAAAGTATTTTTTCAGAACATTATGATGTCACTGTGAAGTTGACCTTTGACCTTTTAGATATAAAAAGTCGTCGTTTCATCCTATTAGACATTTGTTTGAAGTTTTTTTCCTAATTAGTGTAGGAATTCTTGCCCTATGATCAGAAACATATTTTGGGTTCTCAACCACCAAAATCGAATCTGTTCAACGTTGAGTCCAGGTGGACGTCTGTGCCAATTTTGAAGACATTCTCTCAAGGTTTTCTTGAGATATTGCATTCACAAGAAAGAGAGGGGCAAGGTCACAGTGACTCTGAACTTTGATGACCAAAATTTTATCAGTTCTTTGATTGAGTATAAGTGAACGTTTGTGCCAAATTTGAAGAAATTTCCTAAAGGCTTTCTTGAGATACTGCATTCACAAAAAAGAGGGGGGCAAGGTCACAGTGACTCTGAACTTTCAAAATCTAATCAGTTCTTTGATGAGTATAAGTGGACGTTTGTGCCAAATTTGAAGAAATTTCCTCAAGGCTTTCTTGAGAAATTGCATTCACAAGAAAGCCAGGGCCAAGGTCACAGTGACTCTGAACTTTGACTACCAAAATCTAATCAGTTCATTGATGAGTATAAATGGACAGAGGCATAAAAATGCCAAACATTTGCTGGTTCCACTTTCTCTAATATATAGTATTTCCGTTTTTTTCTATAAAAAAAAACGGAAAGCGGACAAAGTTGGAATTAGCTTTCATTTTCACTTTCACTGGCGATATTGTTTCCAAACAGTGGCCAACAATTCCTACATAGTATACCTAAAAAAATCATTGTAATCTGAGTATCTTAAGATTTAAAGGTAAAGTGTGTAGGATTTAGTAGCATCTAGCAAAGAGGTTGCAAAACGAACTTCTCCCATGTGCCGTGTGTAAGAGAACTACAGTGGCCGGCACAAAAATGTAAAAACTAGATGGCCCTATCTGGAGCCAGTGTTTGATCTGTCCCTGCTGGGCTACTGTAGAAACAGCATGGTAGACTCAGAAGAACAGGACCTGTTCCATATGTAGATATAAAAGCTTATTCTAAGGTAATAAAAAAATACTCAATATGTACTCAATACTTATTTTCAGGTGATTTTAAAATAATTAAAGCATAGTTATGAATATTATATGCAATTTCTGCCAATATATGCACCTATAGCCTACACACTGGTCCTTTAACAATAAAAAACAAAATGAAATCATAAAAATAAATCATTAGTTGCAGTCCTAAGTTACACCAAAAAAGCACATGTGAGCAACCTGCGAGCCTGAATGCACATTTTTTTTCCTGTGATCCTTTTTTTAAATTTATTTTGGAGCATATGTGGTCCTTAAAAAAGGCACTTCAGATTCATGTAATGCTTCATGACAGACACAGTAATTGTCATCTCTAAAACCCAACCTTCTTTCCATATCTGAATTCTACTTAAAAAGGGAGCTTCTAGGTTGCTCTTTTGACTTCCTTTTCCTTTCTCCCTTTGGCTCTTCCTAATATCTTTATTTCCTCCCTCCTTCTGTCTGACATCTCCATTGCTCTTCTGCTCCCTCCCCGTCTCAGGGGAGAGCTTGAGCATATGTGTGTGACCTGGCCTGTGCTCGTGCGTAGTGCGGCGCGCGCGTATGTTTTGTGGGTGCGTTCTCTCCATGTGACCCTGGCTGGGACCAAACAGGTGCAGGCTAAATGGATATGAATGGAGCTGTGAGTAAACAGAGTGGCAGTGCTAGCCAGGGCGCTAATATAATTAAGACACAAACATCAGGGAAGGGGGGAGGTGGAGAGGAGGGGCGGGGGGGGCAGTAGGGTGAGGAGCTCTCTCCATCTGTCCCCTCTGTCCCCATTAAAAGTGAAAGGAGGAAGGAGGAGGAGAAAGAGGAGAGGGAAGCCGGGTCATTTCTGGATGATGCAGTTTCCACTTATGGCAGTTTTTTTTGGTTGTTTTTTTTCTGCCGTGTGTCTGATGTGTTTCTGACATATTGTGGATTTTGCGTGCACCTCTGTAGAGTAACACATGTAAGTACTGTGTCAACATTTTCCTTGGGGTTTTGTGTGTGGAGGACGAGCATCATTGATTCAATGTTGTGTGCCGCTCCCTGAGCTGCTTGCCAAGTCATTTCATGGCTGAGTGGTGAAGTTGCTTCGCCGGCAGCTGGTTGAGAGGACCAGCAACCTAAACTGACCTTGTGGTAGTCATAACTGACGCTCAACATACACACACTCAGCCCTTACCATACCATTCAGTAAATCTATTACGCTTTATTGCTTCGGATGAAAGAGATGGTCGAAGAAGGAAAGGACACAAGGAGGAGAAATTTGACACATCCACATTTGTCCTGTCTGCCGGACACAAGTGAAATTATTTTGTTAGGGCCTCGATTACTGTTGCCACTTGAAGGATTTTCCTCTTCAGTACAGGGTTGGGTACTGTTCACGTTTGAACCAATACTGGTAGCAGCTGAGATACTGTGTGACTTCACGTCTAGCAGTGATATTAGTCTATTACTAAAATAATATAGAAAAGAAAATAGCTTCCGCCTCCTGTCTGAAGTTGAACCAGCCACTAAGCGGAGCTCCACTGCTGGCCATGGAGCACCGTGGCTAGCTTTGAGGCTTCAGGCACTTAGCAGTACTACAATCTCCTGTCTGAACACGACATTCTCTCCAAGATGCGTTCAGGTACCAACATTTGGTGATTCGATTAAATGTGAATCTGTATAGTTATACCGATGTAATTCTTTTGGTACCCAAACCAACGTCCATATATACTATATTACTGGAGAAGAACATTCTGACATCAAATCAAATACATGTTTATTTCCTACTTAGATCAGTTTTTGTCTTTTTGTGTCTTTTCCTCACTTTCTTGGTAGAAAAAAAGACAAATTATTGATTATGATTATGGTTGCAGCAGTACACCTGTTTCAAGGTATACCGTGAAATGAAAGTTTGTTATCATACCGTGTACATTTGCTTGTCTACATTACTGAAAGAAAATCTCACAATTATTTTAGTTAAATACCCGATATCCGAGGATCCGAGGACCGGATATCGGCACCAATACGTTATTTTTACAAAATCGGAATCGGTAATAAAAGATTGGAGGAATCAAAACAACAAAAATGGCCAGGTTTTTCATTTATGTTTTTCATTGTTGCCTCCGCTTTCCAATGTATTGTAACCGAACGCCCTGGGTTCGCCTAACTGAGTGCAGCTAACGAGCAATAAACGGACAGGAGTAGAGACAACAGGTTCAGCGGCCACCGCTTCTCTCTTTATTCCAAGCAACACAGCCACACCTAACGGCGGAACCTCGCCTACCACAGCCCTACAGCAACTCTGGAGGGACAATTTGCTCCACCGATAAGCTTTTTGGATACTATTTAAATAAAAAACAAACCTTGTGGGACAACTTGGATGCATTCTTTTTTTTTTTTCTTTCTTAATGCTTTGCAAAGTATCGGATCGGACTCGGTTTCAAAATAAAGGACTCGGTATCAGATCGGATGCAAAAAAAATGTGATTGGGACATCCCTAATTAGAGTAATATAACGTTTGCTCAACCAAAAATCACCTTTCCGTTTTCTTTCTTTAACCCTTCAAAGCCTGGAGCAACATCGCTTTTCTTATGCTGCTTTCGGACACCTTTCGCAGGTATTTAAACCTCTGAACCCTGCGAAGCTTTTCAAAAACATGGGGAAAAGGGCAGTGAGCAACTTGATGGGAAATGTCCCACAATTTGCAAAAAATTAATAGATTTTAGTCTTTTTTTAAAAACCAGGGCAAAAAGAAAAAGCTAAAAAGAAACCATTACATTTATAAGTATTATTTATTGTTACATATTTAAAATTATGGTACAGAATTATTATAATTTTTAAGCATTTCCTTGTTTTTATTCTATATTATTTTATTTTAATTTGTTGTATTTTACTAATTTTTGTGTTTATAATTTTCTCTGTTTACTCATTTCCTGCAAATTTTTTGGGACGTTTCTTGTTTCATTGCTCATTTCCTTATTCTCATGTTTCTTGGAACAAATCAAGCCAATTTGCTCCAGTTTGAAAGGGTTAAGGGTCAATCTGACTGATTATAATAATTCTGTAGTACCGTGATACCTTGTAACTGCAATATTTTTTGAGACGGTTATTATACTGTGAAAATCTCATACCAATGTAACACTAATTATGTTAATAAATGAAACAACATTAAAGAAAACTCACAAAACGTGGCTGCAAGTTGCAAACATTGTCAACAGTAAACTGACCTTATCTATGACCCCCAACACCCTGTAAGCTCTCAGCTCCTCAGATGAACTCTGCTGGCCTCCTCTGCTGGTGGACGGGCAGCACTGTGCCCCCAAAGCCTTGGACAAAAGAACATTTCATAGAGCATTAATGAATTGTAATTTCATCATTAAATTATGGTTGTATTCATTGGTTATTGGATTAATAATAATAATTATTATTATTACTAATTAATTGTTTTGGACTGTCAATGTGCATTACAAAAAGACTGGTTGAACATTTTTCTCCACAGTCTTACTGTACTGTTTCCATCTGTAACAAACCCAACTGTACTCTGATATAGTCTCAAGTGGTATCAGGACCCCGGTGGATGCATGCATACAAAGCAGATTTGCATAATCTAACACACAGTATACGGGCCAGCAGCATTTCCCTCCCACTCACCACTGTCTGTGTCGACCCCTGACCCATGTTGCTTCCCAGATGCTGACTGGATATATGTTCCGCGCGCATCAGATACTCAGCAGTCTTCTTCTTCACTGCCTCTCGCCGCGTGGGACTGGGCTCACCTGAAAAGGGGTGAGCGAGATCAATTGTTTTTCTTTACCTAGCAGTTTTTAATAGTGCGGGGTGAAAAGTTTCGGCACAAGCATTTTATTTACTGACAAAACAGCATGTTTTATTGGGACAAGCTGCTAGAGGCGAACTCAAGTGGTCTAACTTGCTGGTACCCACATTCAAAAAGGTTCTAGCGGACTGACCTACAGCACCTGTGGACCATGGCAGATTTTATTGGGTCTACTCGTAGTCATGGCAAGTACAAGCTAGTAGACCGTGAAAAACATTTTATAGTGTCCTTTGTGACTCTAGAGGGAGCTTCATCATGTCAAAAACTGGACTTGGAGGTGGGTCTATGTGTCCTGGAGGATTTCCATGTCCCTGGCAAATGGGAGACACTGCAGACAAATATCTGTTTTTTTGATTATCTGTTATTATTTAACTATTTTAAAAGCTTGAACCGTCTCTTTTTAACTTGCCTCTTGTTGCCATATATGTCTCTCTCATTGTCATATAACATACAGGTTGTGTCACTGATGTATATGTGTAGTGAAGAAACAAACAAAGTCAGAGTGGAGATACAAAAATAAAAAATTGTATACAACACTCTGTCCCACTTTGGGTACCAATGTAAACCCTGTCTAAGAATGGGCTAAATAAAAACGAAAAACAACTCTTTGTGTATCTATACTTTTACCCAGCTCTCTCCCAAACTGACCTTGCACTCCTTGCAGCAGCAGGTCCACTCCGCTGCGATAGCAGGAGAAAGCTGCCTGAAAGTCCTGCTCTTTCTCCTTCTGTACAGCCAAACAGATGAGCTCACTGGCTCTGTCTAAGTAGTCTGACTTCACGTCTTTGGGGTTGCCACCGCCAGCTTTCTTCAGGCTGCCGGAGAAGAGTGGTGTTCGGCCTGGCCAGCTGACCTCGGGGTTAGGGGCTGAGGAGGCAGGGACAGGTGCAGGAGATGGGGTGCGACGATCATGCAAGGAGGGCAAGCGAGGGCTGCAGCTGCTGCTAAAGTTGGTGGCTCCCCCCTGTGGCTGGTTTGGGGAGGTGCGGCCCGAGGCCATGCCATCATCCAGCCCAGCCAAAGAGTCTGTATCCACAGCCAGGGAGGTCAGGTCGCTGTCACTGGACGGGCCTGGGGAGAAGAACATTGCTTAGACCAACACATACACACCTCATAATGAGTTTACATTTGAGCTCTAATGTAGGTGGGTGTTATCTTGATACATAAACAAACCTTACCTCCATACTCAGATGTGATAGTCAAATCATCCGCACCACTGATGTCTCTTTGAACTAAAAAAAAAAAAAACATCCACACATCTCTGAGCAAGTGTGAATCAACAGACACTGTAAATTAAGAGGAAGATAGATCTTGAACGTGTGAAACTCTACCGTCAGAGCTGCAGTCTGATAGACTGTCTGCCAGGAAGTCAGAAAAAGGCTCAGCTGGTCCGATGAGCTCCGAGCCGTCGTGGACCTCACCTCCCTTGAGAAGAATTTAAAACATTGCACAATCCACAATCTGTCTGGGGGGATGTTTATGTTTCTGTATGCGTGTGTTTGGGTACCTTGAAGAAATCTTGGATGTGCTGACTACTGTAGAGAGCAGGAATGTTAGCTGAGAACTGGAGCAGATCTTCAGAGCACTGTCGTCTTTCCTCGACTACTGAGTCATCAAAACGACCTGCACATGCATTCATGGACAGGAAGACAGACAGAGTAAGGTACAAAGTAAGAGTAGTGCTTACAGAATGAGTAGTAACACTGAGCTGCCTCAAGGGGGAAGAGTCGTCGCTACTTCTCTGGTGGTAAGAAGATCCAGGATTACAGCAGTATGTCACTACAACAGTTTGTCTTAGGTCACCTCAGAGAAAGTTCCCTAACATGACCAACCAAATGTTTAAGCAAAAGGGGACCAAAACATCAAACAGAAAAAGAAAGCTCTACACAGACACGTCCAATTCAAGCATTTAAAAAAGGACAAATGTCTGACACAAAGGAATCAAGGTGATTAGTTTCTTACCAAACACTTTGGCCTTGGCAAAGGGAGGAAACAGCTCCGACTGGCTACATACATTCTTGTGCAGCTGCCAGAGGTTCTGATGAAGCTTCCGGAAATCACTGTATCTCTTCCATACTGTTATCTACAGAAAGAGAGGAGAGATGGATGAAGATAGGTGGGAGGAGGACTTTGGGAATCAATAATCTTCACCAAATGGACTATAGTAATTTTCTCTACCAAACACTGCTAAAAGAGGGAACCTGATTTTGTATTTGTCTGTCAAAGTAATCTCGTTCTCACTTTTTTATTTTAAAATATCTGAATAATTCACATATTTGTTGTCTTGTTAAGGACAACAGAAAAAAAAGCTGTTCCTATACCAACACATGAAACACTCTAACTCATATGACAACTTAAATTCCACAATATAAAAATAAAACTTACAACACAAGTCACAACATTCACACACAAGCCTGGATGATGTAGTTTATTACTGTGAGGCATAAAGCAAAACGAGCAAAACAGGAGCACTGCTCAGGAATGGAGGTATGTGTTCCAGGCAAAACTCTTTCACTTTGTCTCAGAGACATACACATGCACTAATTAACATCATGCCTGCTGCATTAGAGCTGGTTCCAGACTAGACTGCATTCCTCAGCGTGTGACACATTTAGGAGAGCTTGCATGTGAGTTTTGACAGCTTGTTTGGGGGAATAGTTAAATGTTCTGTAAAATCTTTTAAAAGACTAACTTGAGCAAAAACAAATCCTTAAAATGGTGACACTAAAGATGTGACAGGTATTAATTGATACTTGAACCGTTGATAATAAAAGCCTGAGTGTTCATAGTCTGATTTAAAGACAATGAGCTTGAAATGTAAAAAAGAAAAACAAAAAATGAATGAAAACAACTCTTCTGATGTTGACCTAACTCTTGGCTTTTTATATTAGTCACACTATTTTTCACAACTGACTTTTCTGGACGGATAAATGAAGCTTGCTTTGTAAAATCTAATGTCAAAGGAGGTGGACAAAGAACGCAGAGCTGCACACAACTTGCACAGCTTCTTACCACAAATTTACTGGTGTAAATTTCATAAATAAATAAAATAAAATAAAATAAAGCTATTATTATAAACTGGTCTTGGATGGTTTCAGAAGTCTTAATCTGAGGTAACAGATCACTTATTCTTTATACAGTAGCAGTGTTTATCTTCCAAACCTGCAGGAAAATTAATTCCACAATATTCCATCCAACTTCTGCCACAGCTTTGCACACTCACAAACTCCCAATACACAAATAATGGCTGCATGTCTTACCTCTTGGACATCCTCTGGGTTCTTCCTGGAGATTATCTGTGTGGAAAAAGGAAAAGAGAAGCCTTAAAACTTCAGACTCTCTCAAAAGTCGATTCCTATCTTAAAGTTTAGGATGCCAGCGCTGATTTTGCTGCAAGGACCTTCTTGTGAGACTGGCATGAGTACGAGCGGGGACACAGCTCTACTGTGACAATGAGTGCATTATATAGAGAATGACGGAAGTCTGAGTGTAGGAACGAGACATCACCAGCAATCATAATAAGCAGGATGGCGGGCAGGCGGGGATGAAGAAACTCAGCCTGTCCTTGTCCTATCTTATTAAGATGGGAGTATCTGAAAAATCACTGCATGCACTGGCAACTGGAGGTCTGAGACAATGTGGATGAATTATAGGATATGTTATTAATTTCATCATCAGATGACTTCTCTTTGCAAGCACTTGGTGTGTGAGTTGCTGGATATTATCAATGGGGACAGGAAGCCATGATTACAAATGACAGCCTGGTTGTCCAAAACTGAAAGTAAATGTTGTGTAGGATTTTTCTCCTACAGTATAGCAGCACTTTACACTTAGAGTTAGCTACAGAGGGCTTAAGCAAATGACATGCAGGTTATAAAGTCAACCCAGGCTTTGGCATCTCTCCATCCAGGTCTGGTTTGATAATAGAGACCCCCCACAATGCTAATGACTGATTTCAAGGCACTTTACTGGGAAGCTTGCCTGAGACTGTAGTGTCTATATTAAACAGCTATTTAGTTATGTTTCTGCTCACTTATAATTGGCATTATCTCTTTAATGCTACTCTATTGAAACGCTAATTAAATACAACACTAACAAAGCTAGCTAGTTAGCTATCTAACGTTTAAAAGCAGCTACCTAGGTCGGAGTCAATCACCCTGGCTAATGATGCTAATGAAAATTAGCATCAAGATAATCCACTAGAGGGGGAATAAAAACACATTTTAAAACATAACCAAGTCTGAATGTGCCTGTCAGCTAATTATGCAGTGTTCACAAAAGCTGTTAACACCGACAGGTATTCCTCAATAGGTTTTCAAGTAACGTTACTTGTGTTTACATCACATTAGCTTGGTTAGCACAGTTCAGGCTACACAGCTAGCTAACAACACTTAGCATTAGCTCTGCTGTCAGAGTGCCCATTCATCCTCCCCTGCACTTACCCTTGCGGTGACTTTGTACACAGTGTAGCCTTTCAGGTGCTTTTTAGGGTCTGTGACAGTATAAAACCGAGCCAGTTCTCCTCTGTCCCGCTGCGATATCATTCTGAAAGTGACAACATTGCCAAAGCTACCAGTCGGCTAGCCACATATATTTATTCCTTGACAGCACTGTGACAGGAAGGCAAATAACAGAGAGCTCCTCCCTGTGGTCAGACTGTGGAACTACACTTGCATCCACTTTGTGTTGCTTTCTTCTAACACCAGTTTAGTTGGGGTGTTTATATATTTTATTAAATGATAACTCATGAAATGATTGTCTATTTTATATAAATGTATACATATAAATATCAGCAATTAAGCTTACAGTGCATGGCATGAACACAATACAATACAAGTACACAAACAGAGATAAGTGCATATGTTGTATGCCATATATTCCAATACATAATCATGGCATATGCTAAAATGGAATTAGAAAAATATAATATAGAGCTGGGTGATATCGATAAAACCTTCTATCACAGTGTATGTCATGTAGCTCAAGTGAAAAAAACTTTAGATTCGAGGTATAATACAATAGATATTAAAGTATACATTTGATCATGTAGGGTGATATTGAACTACCATAAAATGTAATACATGTGTGTGGCAGTTAACTTTTTTGTGCTTTTATGAAACAGTTTTCCGCTCTGTTGTTAACAATTAACGCCAAACAGAAAACATATGCTATGAACGGAGAAAACGAAAACACAGAAAATAGTATAGGCTACACCCTGTCCTGTAAAGTTGAATATACTCAGCTGGGTACAACAGATTTTTTTTTTTTATCAACTGTGCCTCCCTTTTTCAAGATTGCAATGGTTTGCATCTGTTGCTCATGCCACCACGTTACATAGTCGCAATCCAGAGCAGCAAAAGCACAATTCCTGCTGGGTTCAGAATCCAGGAAGTGCCAACTTTGCTTGCCGAGTTGTTCTGACAAGTGACAGTCGGCGTCTTCATCATCTCCCTGACGATGCCATCTCCACTGAATGCAAAGTTGACCTATGAAAAAGAAATGATATAACATAGAAATACAGCTTTGTGTGATACATGGTGAAGGCAATGACCGAGGACTCCACAAACTCTTAACAGTGTGCAAGATTTAGGGGGATTTAGTCGCATCTAGCGCTGAGGATTGCAGATTGTAACCAGCTGAAACTTCTCCTGGTTAGAATTCTGTCAGTGTTCAAAGTTCAGGAGGTTGTCACTGGGACTTTTCCTCTCCAAAACCAATGGACCAGGTGATTAAGACCAGTAGACACTGAATAAAGCAGTTTCATGAAACAAATCAGGAAACGGGTTGCTAGCCCAGCACCAGCTAATGTGTGCTCACCTTTTTTCTCTGATAACTTAAGATCCAGATGTTCAAGAGGTTTTTACCAGGAGCCAGATTATTCACAGAGGTCTCTTCCTCTCCAAAACAAACAGACCCATTGATTTCAACAGGTAAAAACACTGAATGAAACAGTTTCATGTTAAAACAGTCAGTGTTTTTCTGAAGCTGTCTGACGCCACAAATGGCCCTATCTAGAGCCAGTGTTTGGTTCGTCTGTTCTGGGCCACAATAGAAACATGGCGGACTTTGTGGATGAGCAACTGCTTTCTATGTAGATATAAATGGCTCAATCAAGGGTAACGAAAACATGATTCTTATTTTCAGGTTATTATACAAGAAAGAAAACATGCTTATCATATTATTTTCCAATTTGCCAAGATATCCCCCTAAATCCTGCACACTGGACCTTTAAAAAGACAACAAATCCTCAACAGAAACGTCATTATTAGGCTGGAGGTAGAAGAGAAAATACAGAGAAATATTCAGACTGTTACTTACATCGTCATCACTGACTAACTGCATTTGTTTAACGCTCTTTAGGAACATCTCCTGTGCAGCAATGTCATCCGGGTCTGAAGTGGGGGGCACTATGGACAATCTATCAGAGCTGCTGAAAAAGAGCAAACCAAGAGACATCTGCTTGTAAAAAATATAATGTATATAACCTGTAAGCTACTTTAAACCATCACTGCTGCCAGGTCCAGACTCAGCAGAAATATTAGGGTTGTGTTCATCGAAAGATACCTTGTATTCGGGTGGCTAACACATGTGCTGATCGGTATTGCAGGGTAGTATAGCAGGAAGGCCAGACACATCTCATCAGTAGTTGCTAACCCCATCTGAGGGAGAAAAATGTTCAGTCAACACCTGACACTCCAGACCCTTCCTCAGGAGACAATCATAATGTAATGTGATGTTATGTATTTTGCTTAGTATTTGAAGTACAAAAACAATAAGGATATAATTAGAAAGCAAAGAATCTCCTCTTTCCAAAGGTATATGAAACTCAAAATGTGTTTAAGGGTTAACGTGACTGAAAGTAATTAGATACCGGTTATAGGTTTGGGTCCCAATAGGACGACTTCTGGGTCCGGTATAGATCAACAAAGGAGGGACAGATTTTGGTATGATTATGATTATGCTTACATGAACAAATGACTGAGGAAAAATCTGGACCCTGTGGCTGGACCAGCTGGAAACCACTGATTTAAAGCACATTGTGTGTGTATTAGCAAAAGGTCATACAGTGTTTACCTACCGTGGTGACTTTGGTGCGATCGATTGTACTGTAGGTGCACTCCACTGCAATCTCATCACCCTGTAATGGGAGGCAAGTAATTTGACATCATAAATTATAGAGGGCACCGTTAATATTATATAGTTTTAACAGCCCAAATACGTGATAAATAACTGAAAACAGCCTTGTAACATATTTGGGCATAGATGCAATGGAGACTTACCGGCTTGATGGTCTTGACAGCTCCCAAACAGATGCCCTGCTGTATCTCGAAGTTGAAGTTCTCATCCAAGGCCAAGAAGTCTATTTGCTTTACGTCTCTACAGAGACCAAGACACATGACATAATATTATGTTTACAAGAAAACTCTGGTACACAGCTAGGGGTGGATTATGAGACAGTGAGCCCCTGGGCACAGACAGGCCGAGGACCCCACCACCTCTCCTGCATAGGAGCAAGACACACAAGTCATTTCTCAATCTGTGTTCTTGCCTGTACTTATGTTCTTGCGGACGTCATCAGTCACATGTGATGTGAACTTGCTCTGCCCGTTCCATCGGGGATGCATCGGGAGGTGACTTGTGTGGACTTTTGACAGCCAGGTATCCCAGAATGCATTTCTCACAGACTAACGGCAATGGCAGCCGTCCTTGGGAGTTTGTACTCCCGTGTCGAACTTGCCAAGTCCGAACTCCCAAGTGCACAAGTCCGAATTTGGCGTACTTGGTATTGAGAAACGCCTGCAGACTTTGTGGGTGTTTTGCTTCTTTTGGTTGTTTTTGTTGTTCTTTTGTGTCTCTTTGGAGGTGTTTTGAGCCTTTTTTGCTGATTCTTATACATTCCCTTGACAATTTGTTACTGTGTTTTAATTCTTCTTCTTCATCTTAGATATTGACTGACATAATTGAAGACCCCTCTCTCTGTCTTACCTGTAGTGGGCAACTCTGACTTTCCTCCCAGCCAAGTGAGTGTGCAGCATCACAGCAAACACATGAAGGTCAGGCACAGGATTCACAAGCTTGGGGTGGAAAGCAAACATTATAAGGAACAGGGTCATAAGCAACCAAAACTAAACGTAACTTATCCCAATTTGAAATTCATATTAAACCACTACAGACCTGAGAAAACAGACTGGTATTACACACACCATAGGTGTGGAATTGAGCAGCTCTTGGGGGGATGTTGTAGGGTGTTCGATGACTTATCATCACACCTGTGTGCAGGATGCCCACATCATTTTGTCGGAGTTCAGCTGTATAGTGCAGTCTCAGTCCTGAGCTGTCTGTCCTATCTATATGGAGACATGTAGGAGTTTAAAAACACTGCATCTTGGTCATGTGATTAAGAGAAAGCATAGAATGAAATACAATACGATAAGACATGTGCTCCATTACTTTGTATATACAGTATGTAGTACTGTTTTAAAGCTGGGGTAGGCAGTTTCATTTTAGTGTCACTGGGCAAAATCACATGATAAATTTTAGACATATTGTAATTGACCCTTCGCTAAGCCCCATCCCCAGACGTAGACTGGCCAATCATAACGTAGCATTGGGCCGTCTCATACTCGATACTCGTTACCTGGAGAGGTTGGAAAAAGATATAAGTTTCTTCCCTGTTCCAAAACCAAAATCAAACCCTGAAAAGTGTAGGGTTAGCTAGCTAGCTACTGAAGATATAGCCTACTGAATGTATACACATGCTGCTTTTGCTTTTTAATGATTATAACAGTGAAACAAAGACTGACCCTGCTGTACAGGAACCAGTGAAGGGAAGCAGGGAAACTTTGCTGATATTCAACCAGCTCTGTGTCATCACAGTGTGTGCAGATGAACGTTGTTTGACTTCCCCAGAGATCCCTGCTCGTCCAGCTGCAGAAGATCAGGTGCTGGCAGCAGCACGGGGGCGAAGCCAAACACTGTTCATCTGCACACACTGTGATGCCACACAACTGGTTCACTATCGGCAAAGTTTCCCTTTATATTCATTGTGTTCTGTGGCAATCAGCAGTGATGTGGTGGTTCACTTTTACACTGTGATCTGTAGCCTATAGTTCGGCTTTAGCTTCTAACTATCTTTGTCTTTTTAACCTGTTGTTGCTGCTGAGTCAGTTTGACATCCTGGATATATATATGCCACTTACAAGGGGAATTCCGTGTTACAAACTGGGGAAGGCAGGAGGGGTTAAACAAAAAGATGCTACTGGTTGCATCATGGGAAGTGTAGGACCCAGGGACCCATACCAGGGACTTAAAGTCAGGATATCTCGGCCTCTGCTTCTTTAATTTTGAGCCATTCCTTAAACCATTTAATTTGTCATAGACTCTATAAATGTCTGATTTGGAGCCAGTAATATAGGCGTACCTGTAAATGTATTAAGAAAAAGAATCTACAGTATTTACTTTCGTCACTGTTCGGGTTATTGTAGTGGATTTCCAGCCGAAAAAACTGATCATTTAAGTCCGCACCGCCAATAGGAATACCTGC